GTGCCCTTACTGTCACGTGATCAAAAACTTGAAACTTTTTGCTCGGGGCTCATTCGTGAGCTCCCCCCTTTCCTAGGTGATTGCCGCCTAGCTTCGTAACAGCTTGACAAAGAGCACGTGCTTGAAGAACTCCTCATGTTATGGCCAGTCAGCAGGCATGAGCCTCCACGGCGATGACAGACTTGCGGCAACCTGCCCACCCTCCTTCTCCATGCTGCTTGTGTGATGGTTGAGCTCACTCAGAGTGCTGAGTGTGAGAACAAGGTACACGCTGCAAATGTAGCCTGCATCATGAAGCAGTTGCCTCCCATCATACAGTGCATTCAGCATCTGCTCAAACTCAGAGCACATAAACACCGGCCGGTGGAAGTTGAGCCAAGTAAAATACACGTCCAGGATCTTCTGCACCATGTTGCAGTCCTTGGGCAGCCAGACATGGATGGTGTCTGTGGCAGGAGGTGCACCATTGGTAATGGGTGGGGAAGGAGCAGTGATGCTGTTGCGATGCACTTGAACAGAAACCCACTTGGTCTGATCTCGAGGTGCTGAGGGCTCTACGGGATCACGATCTCGTCCTGAAGTCAACCCACTTGAGCCTACCGTGAGATCCTCCTTGTCTGGTGCTGGCAGCTTCAAGCCAGTGACAATTTCCACATTGACGCCAAAAGTCTTGGCTGGTGCCTAGGGAAATCTATCAGTCCGAAAAGCTGATGAGGAAAGCGGGACTGCATACACGGGTATTAGACAAGTCATGGGAAAGGGGGTCCTGGCCTTACTGTCATGAGCTGAAGGTGGTCACTGCATACCTGGGTGCAGCTGCAGAGGATACTGGAATGGAGGATAAGTGTGCGGGTTGTAAGTCAGATGAGAAGGACCCTGCATAGACATGTGGGGAGGAGGAGGGCCGTAGGGCACTCCTGGAGGAGGATAAGGCATCATATGACCCGGATGGCTATAGGGCATCATTGGCTGGCTGTGAGGGGGTCCATAGGGTGCGTACACCCTTGGGGAGAGCTGCTGGGGGCAGTTGGGGCACTTCTGTGTGCAGAGGGAAAGGATGGGAGCTCGGGCCAGGAGGAGGATTCTGTGCAAACTGGAAAGTCTGTGAAAGAGCCTGATCTGAAGCATTGACCTCAATGCCCTCACACAGACCTCATTAAGATTGTCGAGAGTAAAGCCAGGATAATGCCATTTGAGGAGCGCATCACACTGAAGAAGCTGCCACTCGATGTGTTCAGTGTGTCCGTGAGGGGTAAGGGTCTGGTGATGTCTGTCCTCCTGCTGGCAGACGGTGCTGGCAGTCATGCATGCTGTGCATCGCAGATGTTTGAAGTTACACTAGAGAGTGAGGGCAAGGAGAGAGTTAGTTAGAGAATATAGCGGGCACGGGCGGAGGTGAGGACAGGAATTTGCCGTCGGTGTCACCCAGCGGGACTTGCCTTAATTTTCTTGCTCCTGCAGTATGTGCATGCTTCATGCGAATGCTGCAGATGATGTGGCCAGATGCCACTGGACGCATCACATCGATACCCGCCTCATCTTACGCTGGTTCCCCCTTTGATACAGTGCCCCTCCTTTGTGCTTTCGACCCTCCCACCATAGTGCCACTGCTCGGAATTGCCACAAGCCCCATGCACGTCTCATAGAAATCGCGTCATCATGCAACCGGTTTGCTAAATCCACTCCTGTATCTGTTCGCATGCTGACTCAGCCTTTTTCTCACAGAACCAATACATGTTCGCTCTGACAATGACTACCCCGCATTCTTTGACTTGTGTGTCAATCAGCCAACACTTTCGTTCACAATCACACACAATTGACCTTAAATGAGCATCAACAAACATCGTCCTCTGTGGGCCCTGCAGGTCCATCTGCACTCATTCTCCTCTGTCTGTGCTGTCTGTAACCAAACATGCATCACTATCCAATAGCTCTATGCTACCCTCCACGAAATGCCACCCACTATATCGACTCTCCTCAAGGTACTCTTTAAATTTATGGGTATGAGCTGCATGAAGGAGTACCAGGAAGTGTTCTCACCATGACCCTCGACTTTCTGTTGGTAGCACGGATTCCAACTCAGCTTAGACTCATCTTTGGCAGGGCGGCTCTTCCAATGATGGTCGAAAAGGTAGCAGGTGGCCAGCATACCTTTCAGCTTCACGCTACCATCTCAGATGATGCCCGTGTCCTTCAACCGCTGAATGTCTCACTGCATGCGCAGACATTGGATACTCACAATACTATGTTGAATAGTGTGGTGTTTGGTAACTTCACTTGCATCAACCTCGGTAAGTTCTATAAGCCACGCTTCTTACCCGACCCATGATTGAGCACAGATTGCAGCACCGAGTAACTGCCACATGAGACTATACCCGGATACATACGATAGCATTCTTGGACTGCCTATGTCCCCTTATGCACCCCAATCGTCGAACTACAAGGCACGGTATTCTGCGCAATTCTCACCTCCGCCATCCTCCCTTCCACACCACCGTATGCATTATGCTCATGTCCATGCCCCATCTGCATGCCCAGTGGCATCGTTCATCTCATACGCAAGCCCATGTGGTGATGAGAGACTACACGCAATGGCCACCAACCTGGAGCTGCTGACACCTCTCGAAAGCATGAGCAAAGGCTGGGATGAGGATGAGTACACTGCCTGCCATTGGCTTGTGCGATTCCAGAAAGAGAGGGAAGGAAACACATTAAAGGTTTCCTGCACAGCCATCAAGCAATACGAGTACATTGAAGGCGGCATGGTCATCTCATGCATCTACCAGTGGGAGACAAACTCATGCTATGTGACTTCTGTCAATGTCGTTTTCCTACTTGAGCATCTGGTAGACAATCAATTCGACGTAGAGACCAAGAACAGAGTACGAAGGAATTTGGAGCACTGTCATCTGCGAACGGTGTCGAAAAACAGGGTGAGCACAAGCGAGTTCTTTTCACTCATCATGAACTTGCCGGTGCCGAAGCTGCGAAACATCGAGAAGGACTTCCTCACCCGTGGTCCTGACTCGAAAGTGTTTGAGTGGAAGGTGCTGTCTGAGACACTGCACAAGATGGTTTTGCGATTAGTGAGGCGTTCGTTCTTTTTGTGTCACTCGACTTTTCTGACGGGAGATTCATCAGATGCTTCCTTATATATCTGCACAGGCTGAGCCTATCCCCACACCTCAGCCACATATCTCACCATGTCCATCTTTGCTGTTGGGTCAAGATGCCAAACTCAGTCTCTCTTTGTCCTGTACCTCAAGCGAGTTCTCCCCAGCATCCATTTCTGCTATACCCTCACTCGAATATCTGTTCTCTCCGTATAACCACTCCGTTGGATCGCTGTCATTGTTTGTATCTCAGATGGAATACACTCTGCCATCCTTGGGCTCAGACGGCAGTTCTGCATTTGAAGAATGTGCCATCTTTGGGTCAGCTGTATCAATACCGATTATTGCAACACCGCCATCATCTGACCCGTCTGACATGCCATACTTCACCTTGCGCATGACGGGCATGCAAACACAGACTCCACTCAGTTCCCGCAGTACATGCCCTTACAGGTATCAGAGTATTGTTACAGTTTCAGCGCTTCATGGTCACGTGACAGTTTACGTTGCATGTGACACTTACTATTTATGGTTCATAGGTCTTGTGGACATATGCTAGGGTTAGCAGTTTTCGTTTTTACGATTTACTCACTCAGGCCATGCAAACTAGACCTTCGTGTTTCAGGTTTCTATTTCACCTGTACTAACATTAGCTCACCAATTACTTGGCTCGCAGCGGTTAGTATTTGTCTCGGTCTA